TTACAACAAACGGTAAAGTAAAAGCAGGTTCCCGGGCAGCCGCAGTATTCTGCTTTTCAAGCTCAAAACGCTCGTCCAAAATGGCAGTAAGGGCTTAGCAGGCCCTAGATTCGGCAAAATCTGTTTTCAAAGGCTTGATCAAACGTAATATTTTCTCACAAAAAAAAAGAAGCTGTCCACGACTTTGAGCCATGTAATGTGAATTCCGACTCAGACTTCGACACCGGGCAGAACTGCCGACTCCGATCGACTCCGAATCCGACTCAGATTCCACAGCCCGGCCTTTGATATAATTTTAATCAAATATGTAATAAAATTGTCTCATTCCAAAACTAAACAAAAGTGATGACTTAACATCTGTCAGCGAATGCATTGTCCAAATGTGAAATAGCTGAACTGGCCTCAAACCGTTATTGATATGATCATGGATCAAGAACATTTGACTGGTATTCTCATTTGGCTAACATCAGCACCATTAATTATCCATACCTCATCCATATGTTACTTATCACCTACTGGACAGCACACATGGTGAAATAAGAAAGTTTGCAGTGGTACTTTTAATTTTGCTATTGTAAATGTTAATGTGAATAGCTGAAAATAAAGGTAAATTTTACACTCATACAGGGTGTCTCAAAAGTTCGTTCACACATTTCCCATGCCAATAAAGCATATACTCGTAAGAACCGGCCAAAAGTATAAGGTTTTGGTGTCTGTGTGTACACTAGACAAATATGCATGCTTTGACAACTGATTAAGAAGGTTGGAAACCAACCCCTTTGCTGTATCTCCAAAAATATTTGCCCATACCGATTTTTGTTGCTCCGTCAGCTGCCGGAGGCTGATAAAAGGTTACCAGCTTTCAAGCTCTTGCAGGGGAATCCCCTGCAGTTTCTGCGTCGGATTTAGTTTTGACTAGCTCCCCGGCAACATCTGATTTTCCCTGAAAGCCGACAGCTTGCATCGACACCATTCTTGAGTATTTTGTAGGCATTCTCTGGCGCTAACTCCTTCATGAATGACTGGCGCCGACATCCCAAGCGCCATTTTCCTTTTCAAAACGACCCCAGTCCTGAACAAACGGGAAGTACCAGGAGTAAATTTTTCGCATCATATGGTAGCAGAATGTGTCGGACGTCTGTTTCTCAGACACATTGTGCAAATTTTGCAAATTCCAAGCGCTCGTCATTCCCCATGCCAAGACCTTCGCTCGGTTGCGGAGTGTTTTCCTCGGGAGATGTTCTGCTTTGTAAACGGCCCAAACCTGTCCATCGTGTGGTTTTATCGGGATTTTGTGTTTAAAAGAAAATTATTCGCTGCAGATCTGCCTCTTGAAACTTCGTTAGATAAAATTTTACAATAACTGACACTTTTGGAGGGTCAGGTGTCCTTGGCATTGACGATTTTTGTGTTATTGTCCCCAAAAATTAGCGTTATAGATATTATAAACAATTTTAAATTATAATTTGTCTTTATTTTACGATTACCTGCACTTTTTGAAAATGGGTAACCTCTGTCTGTGACCTTCTTGCCAGTTTTCAATAGTTATGACCGCATTTTCAGCTGCTTTCCGGAACACGAGTCTGCTGTCGTGCGAGGGTCGTTCAAAACGCCGTTAGTCTCGCATGGTTTCGTCCTTCGAAAATTTTAGCCACCGTTTTTATGAGATGATCATCATGTTGCACTCATCCTCGCCGACACTTAGCCATGTGTCATTTCCGACTTAACCACTCCCATTACTCCTGAAACAGAGAGTTTCACAACATACCCGACTTTGCAACCTACATTTTCGTGCCTGACCCATGGTCAGAGGTGAACCCTTTTTGTGAGCTCATGAAGGGTCGAATGAACTTGAAAACAATGAGACTGCTTGAGGAAGGTTGTCACCAATGCCCATGCAAAATTTCGACTGTTAATTTCTTGTTGATTCAGAATTATTGACAAAAAAGCATGGCTGGTACCTGTGAACGAACTTTTGAGACACCCTGTAAGGCATATTTCACAAAACCCTTGTAATTCATTGAATACAACCATAGCCTTAACCCTATTCCTGGCGGGCTCCGCCGGGACAAGAAACTGGCGGGGGGGGGCCGATTCGGCCCCCCCCCCCCCCTGAGATCTCGAGAACGAAGCAAGATAGCGACAAGCGGTAAACGGCATCGGATACGCATGGCCAAGATCTACAATTTTTACAAAGGTCATTTTCAGGTCAGGTCAAAGATGACGTCACAGGGGTCGAAAAAGTCAAAATGGCGGCGCTAGATATGGAGAGAGTTTTTCTCCAATAACTTTCGAATTAGTCAAGATAGGAACAAACTAAGGGCATCATCGTGATCCTCTCGTCAATCCGCATCGAATGATATATATGTTGACCTCGAAAGGTCAAGGTCAAAGGTTGACCTCAGGTCACGTGACCTCGAGGTCATCATGTATATCATTCGATGCGTCTTGACGAGCTGAACACAATGAGACCATCCACGCGTCTGTATCTTGTTCCTGTACGGAGTTATTGGCCAAAAACCTTTGGTGACCTTTGATGACGTCACATGACCTCACAGCTGCCCAACAGCAAAACAGACCTCAAGGTAGTGAAGGTTGATCGTATTTGAAGTCATGTATGGTATATGGGGCCATTCCGACCCGTTTTAGTGGTAAAAACAGGGAGTTGATTTTTCCCCCATTGACTTATAATGGGGAGGTCGCAAAATTGACCTGACCTTAGGTCACCGATATCAAAATTCCGAGATATACAAATTGCACATACTGGTACCCTTACTAAACCCTGAAGAGAAGAAATTGATCGGTCAAAAACTCTAGCTCTGGCGTGATTGCAAACTTTTCTGAGGTAGGGTCACCAAACCGCCTCTGGTGACCTGACCTGAGGTCAGATCAACTCAAAATTTTCAGACATGTTGCGTAGAAGCCTTTTAGGAAAAGTCAGAAAATTTGAGCTTCCTAGCTCAACGCGTTTGGGAGAAATAACCAAAAAACCTCAGGGGGGGGGGGGCTCCTGAGGCCCCCCCCCCCCCGCCAGGAATAGGGTTAACAGCAAACTGGAAGATTTCACTAATGACTAAGTGTAATCTTTACATTAGGTAAGGTAAGTCAGGTTAGATTTTGTTTTGTTACTTCTGCTTGTAGTGTATCTGATTTTTTTTTACATTAAATGATTTTATGAACAATTTTCTAATATGTTTGGGACAATATGGTGTGGTTTTTAGGTATAAGTAAGCCTGGCATCCCAGGAAGATGCCAGATACCATTGTAGGTTGCAGGTGTGTAGGGTAGGTTGTAGGTTTGTAGGGTAGGTTGTAGGTTTGTAGGGTAGGTTGTAGGTTTGTAGGGTAGGTTGTAGGTTTGTAGGTTGTAGGTTTGTAGGTTGTAGGTTTGTGGGTTGTAGGTTTGTAGGTTGTAGGTAAGGTTAGGTCAGGTCACGTTAGGTTTGTTTTTGGTCTATATATCTCCGTCGTCCCAAGCTGGCATCTTCCTGAGATGCCAGGCTTACTAATACTGGTTTTTATTCAATTTTGAGATTAGGGTACAAAAGGATTTCACCACAATTGCAAAATAATTGGCTGGTGCCCACAGCTACCAATATTAAGGACCAACTCACCTGAATTTTGGGAGCAATCTGCCTGCAGGGGCCGCACCATGTGGCATAAAAGTCCACCACCACCAGCTTGTTGCCAGCCTCTTTCAACTTGTTCTTGAATTCATCCTGTGGAAGCAGATCAAGATGAGAATATTTAGCATCTGCATTTTCAGACATGTATGCATAATCATATTTTCAACAAATTAACTGCCATTCTGTGTTGCCTCTCTTTATATCTGAAAAGAATATCTGCTTGTCGCCCCACTAGTTGTAGTGTCCTAGGGCTAGAATTGTTCTGAACATACAAGTCGAGATGTTCAGCCTGGCTGACCTGGCATGGCTTCTCAACAAAAACTGGTCATACTCTGCAAAAAAGCTGAAAGCTTCTTACCGTTGACTGAACCTGAGTGACAGACATCGTGGCTTTTATGAATGAGCAGATGAGCTCCAATCGAGCACCTACACCCTTGACTTCTGAAGCGTCACTGAGAGACTGAATCGCTAAAATTACGAAAATTACTTGCCACAAGCGCGCCAATTTCCCTTCGCAAACTATTTAAAAAAGTACCTTACGATGGTAATAATAATGACGTCACAGAAATCCTTTAGTTGACCAATGACGCACAGGTATTTATTGTGAAGCACTGTTTGCCAGCAACAAAAAATGTCAATTTTGCGATTATTTTGCAATGAAAATGACAACAACCCTTTTTTTAATCTTATTATATTCAGTTTCACAAAAACAATGCTTCATCAACGCTAGATAGTGAATATTATTGATGACGTCAATATAAAATTTATAGTTTTGCAACCGACCAAATCAATTCACCCAAAGTTTCTAATTCCCGAGTAAAATTACAAAAGAGAATAGAACGAATAGAACGAAGTTTAGCTTGCCGTGAACTGAGTCGTACGTAATCATAATTTGTCAATGATTTGTTCCACCGAGAGAAAGTCGAACGATAGCGGTAGAGAGAACGGTTGTGACCTGAAATTAAAACCATGTTTTAAGTTGGAGCAGCCTGACGACAATGCGGGCGGTGCGGCGCGGGAGGAGCTGTGTGGATCCAGTTCATCCTCCAGGATAATAATGTTCGATTCGACCGCTCGGTCTGATTAGCTTGCGGAGGGTGTGATAAATCCTGCTCTTGCTCCGTGACCTGCCACCAAATGTCATTGCCATACTAGCAAGAACTTGGGAGCTTGGCTGCTTTCCGCATCCCGCCCGGGCGCACGTTGCTCGAGGATCTCCAGGGTCGCAGACAACAAGGGCCGCTACGGGGCTAGGTGTCAGGCCGGTAGAGCCCGCAGACCAAAGTGGCGCCCCCTGCATGCCTGCAGTCCACCGGCAGCGTACCAGCGCGAGCGGATGATGGCACACACCCCTCCGGTATCCGAAACCGTTGCAGAATGCTAGTGTTTATATTTGGTGTTATTAGTGTGAATGCTGAATGCTGTCGCTCGATAGGGGCGATGGCCTGAGCCACATGCATTTCACCACTCATACCTGGCAATATATGACTGAAGAAGGTCTCAGGTCTGTCGAGGTCTGCACATGTATTTAAATCGCGTTCAACGGCGCCACAGCGCATAAGCTGTTCCGGCTGTGGCAGGAACGGAACAGTCGCGGTCGGCGGAGACGGGATGGCAGTTGACATCAGGAGCTAGGCACCGTTACAACACTGTGCCGTCCAGGCAGCTGCGCGAACCCGATCCGGTCTCTAGCAGCCTCTGAAGTTAGGTCCGCTGCGCTGTCGGTCGTAGGAGAATGTCGTGGACCTGAAATGACAGTAGACGATTCTATAGAGGCGACATCCTGTGACAGCATGGTATCGCAATTTATCAACAACGAGCTTGTGGCTGCTGGTCAAGGGTGATTATAGCGTTAACTCGATTAACTCGTTGCGTTATCGAGATAGAATTATTGCGAATATTTTCTGATTATTGAACATGAAATGACAAACTCAGCACCCCGTTGATGCAGGTCTGACGACGACCGCCGTCCTCCAGATCAAAGTGGACCGAGCTATTTCCTGGATGGACGAGGTGGTGGATAGCTGTTTGTCGTCTCACCTGGAGCTCAGGTGGGGTCGACAGGATGTACAGCACGGCGTCGGCGATGTTCTTCGCCTCGACGCCCAGCTCCATGACTCGACCCGGCTCGTTGTGTGCCCGGGCCGCTATCTCGGTCTGCACCAGACCCGGGGATATTTGCTGGGAAAAGAGCGTGTTACCGTTTAATATCGTAACAGTCGATATTATTGAAAATAGGGCAATGATAAATTAAAATGGATATGCATTTTTAACAGCAAATTTGCAAAACGTCAATTATGCAAATATGTGCACTCGCAAAGCGACATGTCATCCAGTTTTGTCGTCTAAGTTTGGACGGGTTTTAACTAGAGGAAGGGTCGAATCATCGTTTTAAAACGGTGTGCCGATGCTGTTAGATGGCCTGAGCTACGGGTAGGTTGGAGTCCAAACGCTAGTTTGAATGCATCGCCGCAAGAATGCAATTACTAATTAGGCCTGTACATACGGCCACGCGGATTTTGGTGGGCGGCTCGGCGGCGAGCTCCTGACGCAGTCCTTCGGTCAGCGCCGTCATCGCGTACTTGGAGGCCGCGTAAAAGTGCACGTCCGGGTTCGGGGGCACCCGGTGACCGGAGAGACTGCATATGTTGATCACCTGCCGGCGAACGGTGCGGTCAGGGTCATCAGAGCACAGTGGACGGGGGCAGTGCACCTCTGCACGGACACTGACGCGCTCTCCGCGGCGGCTCGGCTCACCTGTCCCTCGTCGACGTTACGGTCGCGCATGCTGCGGATGGCCAGCTGGGCGCAGTGCGCCACGGCCAGCACGTTGACGTTGAGGATGGTGCGCCACTTTTCCACGTCTCCGTTGAGCAGCGAGCCGGTGAAGTAGAGGCCGGCGTTGTTGACGCACACGTCGATGCCGCCGAACTGTTCGCGGACGGTGGCGAACAGCGTCTCGATCTGGTCCGAGTCGTTCAGGTCGCAGTGGAAGGCCACCAGGGAGCCGGCCTGGCCGGCCAGCTCCACGGACAGCGCCTGGGGGAGATCGGGCGCGCGTAATCCAACGGCTAACTCGGTGGAACGAAAAGTGATTGGACGGTACGTGGTTAATTCAAATTTAATTTGTTCATTCACGTAAAAAAATCACTTCGCAGAGAGTTCATCAGCTCGTGTTCACGGAGAGAGAGATCGTATTCATTTCCCTTAATAATAACAATGTTGTTTTAACGGTGTACAACCTTTAGTTAGGCATAGACAGTAAGCAGAAACGGGTCCGAACCTCGATTTGTTTGTCGTTTCTTGCGCAGCCGATGACGATCATACCATGTTTGACGAGCTCCCTACAGATGGCGGCACCGATACCGACGCTGGCACCGGTGACCAGCGCCACCCTTCCGGCCCACCGGTCCATCAGGTTACCCTGGGGGTCAGCACAGAGGTCACACAGGTCACCAGCGCCACCCTTCCGGCTCAGCAGTCAATCAGGTCACCCTGGGGGCCAGTGCAGATGTCACACAGGTCCCTTTCCATGACTCTGAACTCTGAAGGGTCAGGTGATGCCGTCACTCTAAAGGGTCAGTAAAAGGTCATTGTCACCAGCGCCACTCTTCCGTCCCACGTGGGACGCCTATTGTCCCAGGTCAGGTGACGCTTGGGTTCAGTAAAGGGTCGCCGGTCATCAGCGCCACATTTCCGGCCCAGGTCACTTTGGGGGTCAGTACAGAGGTCACAGGTCACTTCCCGACCCAACGCCCCATCGGGTCACCCTGCAGGTCAGGATAGGGCCGGGGGACAGGGGCGTCACCAGCGTCACCATTGCGGCCCATCGCTCCATCGGGTTGCCCTGAGGATCAGTAAAAGGTCACCGGTCAGCAGCGCCATCCTCCCGGCCCAGCGGTCCATCAGGGCATCTCCGAGGGTCATTACAGGGTCACACGGTTTCCGGCCCGTCGGTCCATCAGGTCACCCTGGAGGTCAGCACAGGGGTCACACAGGTCACCCTCCTGGCTCACTGCTCCATCAGGTCACGCTGGTGTCAGTAAAAGGTCACCGGTCACCAGCGTCACCGCCGGAAGCTCGGGTGACGATGGTGGTCTCTGACACAACATGTGAATGTACAACAATCTACTTCACAGTTCACAGCGTAGACAAGCTTACAGTATCATGCTTACGAAATCGAGCGATAAAAACGATAGCGACCGCGTACATCCGCAAAGGGCACTATTTCATCACTATCGAAGACGTTTGCCTCTTCGGCATTGTTTCCCCTATGAAACTTGTAAGAAGCTTCATTTGTCTAAGCATATCAAATAAGCACATTGAAACGGCGTCGCCACCGATGACTTTAAAATCAAATAAAATTCAAAAATATGTATAAATCGTCTGACGCCTAGTGTCGAACACCACGAGCTGATCCGTCGAACGAGCTCGGCCTCACCCGTCAGATGCGTCTCGCGTAGCTCCAATACTTTTGGCCCGGGACCCAACCGACCGGCGACGATCACCTGCGAAACTGCTCACCGCTACGTGTAAGCTAGCCTGCGCTGCTCACGCAGCCGTAGGCGCTGCCTGGCTCAGGGGCGTTGCTATGTGAACGCGATAACAAACAGTTGTTTTGCGCATTTAAGCAGACCACCAGCGGCTTATCATGTCAGGGTAAGCTGTGAGGTGATCTTTGAGTCAAAAGTAGGCGAACCAAGGGCATCCATCAGTGGTCGACGTGCATCCGATATGCGGGATCCGACCTGAACGTGCACCGCCACTGGACCGTACCCGATTGGGACACGCCCAGATAATAAACACTTGGACTTTTGTCGCTGACGGTAGATGTCACTAGGAGCCATGTTCTGGCTATCATCTCTAGATGTCGCTAGCTGTGACTGTCTTCTTCGATGACTGATAGATGTCGCTGGCGTATCGAAAACCTTAGTACTGATCGGTACTGATATATGTACTTCTCAGTTGTGAATTTTCCCCTTAAAGCCTGTTTATATTCAACATCTAGACAGCATTACAAAACTTATCTTGTTAATGGGACTTCTTTGGCCTAGTTTCCGACTTATCCTTGATGATCTTTTTCGCTCAAGGACACCTACCTCGAACAGCTGAGGGCTGTTCACGGGCCCTGTGTGCGGTGGACCGCACACAGCCTCCAAGCTCCGCCCACTTCGTCCCTACGTCACCCTTCCGTCACCGCACACAGCGACCGCTGTGGCCGGTCGGGACTGGCCACAGCGGACCGTCCACCGCACGCAGCCGTGACGTCAGAGCCGCCTACCCATCCCCTACCCCCACGCCTGCTGGACGCACCGTACACAGCGCACGCAGCAGTGTGCGGTGCCCGTGAACACCCCTATCAAAACAAAGGAGATCGTAGGAAAACATTGCGCAGTGGCGGCGTCGCGCAGAATGCGCATTTCGATTCAGAAGGGAACTGGCTCCCATAGAGTAGGGATGGGTTCTTAACTGATACTGCCAGTTTTGTAACATTGAAGATTCCATCAAGAAGAGTCTGAAGTAAATTGCAGATATTGGGACTGAGCAGTATCACGCTTGAACCGTGGAGGTGTGGGGCTCAATCGTTCGGTGAGTACCCATGCCAGTAATGCTTTCGTCTCTAACTTCGCTTTTTCTGTCTGTGTCTTCAAATGTGTTGTATCATCCAGATTCTGGCACTGTCACTGGTTTTTTTCTAAGCCGCCTTGAGCCAGTGCATGCGAGAAAATATGATCTTCGGTGTTGAATGGCAGCAGAGTTCCGCCATGATGGTTTTGGAGGTTACGACGGTTACGACTATGCCTACTCTGCGTAACGTTAATGCGAAGTGTGAAAATTTGGAAAGGCCTTTACACTATTCAGACAGTGGCCACCCAGTCATGGACCCGTGTCAGTGTGCGCGCGTGGTAGTCATGGCCAAGGTCATGGCACTTGTGAGTTGTGCATCGCCGTGTTTTCTCGCGAGCACGTGTACCGCGGACCAGAGGCGCATTCAGGTCACCGTGGAATGGAGGGCACCGTCATTAGATTGGATCGCCGCTCTTTTGGCAAACTATTATGCATTTAAATTTGTTGCCTGATAGGAAAAATGGACTGGCACCAACTCATGTTCCTCTGAATGACCCATTTTGAAGTTTGGGCTCCTCTGATCTGATCTTGCAGCCTTACTCAGACTTGACCTCAAGTTTTATGAAATTTGAGTTCTAATCACTTGTATGGGGGACTTTTTCTTGGCATGTTATGTGAACAGTGACTCCAAATAATGTGTCGCACAACCACAATACCCACCATATTCAACGGTCGGTTTGTGATGACCGGTGTCCTGACCTGACCTTGACTGTGACATTGACCGATGTATGGTGGGCCGCAAGCACACTTTCTTCGTAGGGTGCGTTGTGCATGAGATCCATGAGACGATGTTGTGACGAAGAGACCTGCAGATGCCAAAAATGATAAAACGTTTGATTTTGACTTTTGACCTGCCACGTGACCTTTACCTGACCCTTGACCTGCTTATTTATTGTTTGGTGAGTTTTTCTAGGTTAGGCAGGGGCAGACAGACCCCATTCCACGGAACTCGTTCTTTTGAACGCTCAAACAGGCTTGGGTTTGGTGACCTCAAGAAAATAAGTAAAGGCTGACCATAGTTACGACGACTTAACTTTTATTATGAAACTCATTTTGCATACACATTTTGACTGAAGGAAATCGGGCCCTCTGCTGGCAAGTTACGGCTGCTGACGCTCCACCATTTACGCTGTTTTTCAGCTAAGTAAATTTCATGTAAATCTCTGGAAAGTTTCCGTTCTCCACATTTGAATCTTATGTGGTTACACTTACAAATCTCATTGACGTTACGGTTCAGGGTTCTGGGCTGGAAAAAAAATCTTCTGCAGTTTGAAAGAAAATTGTACTTTCATGGGTGGCCGTGGGTTGTTTACATGTGACATGGATAAAATTACGTTTCTTGCATTGCTTCCTTATACACCATCATATCTACCAGCCAGCATAAGTATATCGGCCAGTGTATGTACTTTTAGAGATATTCCTCGTATGAGCTGAGCGGGCGCCTTCAGTGATCTGGAAGCCGCACAAAGCCGGTTGGGTCCGAGAACACCGGTCTGACGGGCGGCGGCTGACGTCGGCGGCGGCTCCGTCACGGCCGTATACTGCAGGCACAGACGGCGCCAGTCGCCGGCCGGACCCCGGCTCAAACACCGGGCACAAACGGCATCAGTTCCCGGCCGGATCCCGGTACAAACAGCGCCAGTCGCCGGCGGGACCCCGGTACAGACGGCGCCAGTCGCCGGCCGGACCCCGGTACAAACTACAAACACCGGGCACAAACGGCATCAGTTCCCGGCCGGATCCCGGTACAAACAGCGCCAGTCGCCGGCGGGACCCCGGTACAGACGGCGCCAGTCGCCGGCCGGACCCCGGCACAAACACAAACAGTCGCCGGCTGGATCCCGGCACAAACCGCCCCAGTCGCCGGCCGCCGGTACAGACGACTTGGACCGCAGTACAAGCAGCGCCAGTCGCCGGCCGGATCCCGGCACCAACAGCGCCAGTCGCCGGCCGCCGGTACAGACGACTTGGACCGCAGTACAAACCGCGCCAGTCGCCGGCCGCCGGTACAGACGACTTCGACCGCAGTACAAGCAGCGCCAGTCGCCGGCCGGATCCCGGCACCAACAGCGCCAGTCGCCGGCCGGATCCCGGTACAGACGACTTGGACCGCAGTACAAACAGCGCCAGTCGCCGGCCGGATCCCGGCCCGATGGGTCCTGGGGGCGGCGCTGGCCGTCGATGGGGATCGATGGTGGACGGTGGCGGGGCGGGGGGAGGGGGCAGAGCGTCCGATCGATGTGATCCGCTCGGCCGGGCCCACCGCCGGCCAGGTACGGCCCGACCGCCGCCGAGCCGCACAAAGACACATACCGGTCATCGATCGGCGGCCCCGCGCCGGCACCGCGCAGCTCGCCAGGTTTTGTCGCTGTGCCGGGACTGCGAGGTCGGCAGGACGCGCGGCCTTCCCCGTCACTCCGTCTGACTGCTGCTCCCCTCCCCGTCCCCGTGCTGGCTGACTCTTACAGCCTCCCCGTCAGGGAAGTGCGGCCCGCGGCTGGTATTCATGTTCGGCGTCATCAGTCCCCATCAGACGTGCCGTCTCGCCCGGCAGGAATTCCACTCAGGCCGTGCTGCCGACCGTGCCATTGTTTGTTTGCGGCTGGCCGCGCGCTGAATATTGCTGAACGATCGGTATTCCAATGGCCACCTGGGCTGGCGCTGTTGCAACGGGCGTGTCCTGCTGGCGATGTTCGTGAATATTACCGCGGTTCATTGTTCAAAAGTTCATTGCAAATAATTGGCAGTTTGTTTGCTCATCCCACCCATTCATGCCTACAGGTGGCATGTGAATTGTGAATGTTTCAGCGTTTTGTGTTGAACTCTGTAGGTAGGCTGTGGAGCGTCACTGGGCTGTTGGCGCATGAGCGCCGATTTCCATGGATGCTGTCTAGGATGGGGAGTTGAACTTGGAAAGAGCGATCGGCGAGCGTTAGCACCGTCGGCTATAGCAAAAGCAATCGCTAGCTGGCTGGGCATTGAGGGTGTGTCAACGTCCATGCCATTTGCGTCCATAAGCTTCGATAGCAAATCGGCCCAGCTGAATGGGACAGCCTTACGGCTTTTTTCAGAATTGGCGAATGTTTCGGGCCTTGCATCATTCCTTACTATAAGCTGCATGCCGGGTGCATTATGGCAGAGGATCATGCAAGCGACTCAGGCTTCATCTGACACCCGAGCTGCGGAATCCAATCTCCGGGATGTCGGAAGGTCCTGCTGCGGTCGCTTGGATCAAAGACATTCATTTTCATCTGGTGTAACCTAAGCCCGGACCATACCGTTCGCCCGGCGCTAGTGCGGGCAACAGATGGTCGCCTGCGCCGCTCTGCCGAGCTCGGCTCGCGGCGCGGCCCGCCGCTCCGAACGGTCACCAGGGGCGGAGTGGAGCGCCGACCGCGCAGCCGCCCGGCCGCCACTGCAGGACAAAGAGCCGGCCGGCCGGCCGGCAGCCCGGCCCGGCCCGTGCCGCTGCCGGGCACCGGACGACCAGCCTTTGTTTGGCACGGCCGGACGGAGCGGTCCGTGTCCGCCCGGTGACCTGGCCGGGCAGAGACAGAGCTCCTGAGGTCTTCACTTCTAAGAGGCGGGCCAGAGGGATAGTTGCCTGCTTTCTGACAAAGCTGTTGACGGTGCACAGAGGAATTGGCTGGCGTTGCAAAGACGAAGCTTTTTGTGCTTCCCGAGATTAAAAGATGCTTATAAAAGAGAGTTCCTCACAAGCGATTTTGAAAGAGTCGAATCTCCCGTTTTTGCGGGATTTCATAAATAACTCAACAAATAAAACCTCGCCAGAAATCCGGGAAACCATTAGCAACCAGCCCTCTAGGTCATAACAGTTTCATGCATCTCTCACAAATTGCTTTTACGTACTGGGTACTATTCTGGAAGGAGACATTTAAAGAAACAAAAGCATTAGGCTCCAGCATAAGCGCTGAGCAGTGCGGAGACTGTGCAGCTGGCGTGTAGCCGTTCACTGTCCGGTGCAGTGGTCATGCGGCCCTCCCCGCTCCCCGCTCCCCACTCTGCGGAGCCGCGGCCGGTCGTCAGTGTCCAGCGCCGGCTCTAAGGACGGCCGGGGGAAGTGGCGGGCCGGTCGGCAGTGTCGCCTGGATCAGACCCGGTTTCGGACCGGGCCGCGGCGAATGCGACTCCACCGTTGCTGTGGGAACCGGCTGCGCCGCTGGCGTGGCCGCCGGTGCATGTTGGACCGCCGTTGACCCTGTGTGACGACCGGGGACCGCCGGAGGGCCGGTGAACCCGACCCTGTTGATACGATGGATCCGGCTGGCAGCGCTCCGGGCAGCTGCCCATACCGACGGCGGGATGGAACGTACGGATGGGGCCACCAGAGCTTACATGTGTGATACAAACAACTCATAACTTCGACTTGCTTAAATGTATGCCGATGTTTTACACCAAATGCGTCAAGCTCGCAAGTGCCTACTGTGCTATTTTCTTATTCGCCTTGCCTCCAATATGCTTCATAGTTCAAGCAACCTTGGAATACGGTCGATAAGTGCTGGTTATTCTGGTCATTCTCTTCATCCTCCCATAATTCGGGAGCGTTATGTTTGCTGACTGTATTTGGCCGTGACGACGGCCTTGTCGACTGCCTTCCACCGTTACTCTGTCCACATTGCCTCAATTTATAACAGCCACACCGACATTGCTCCTAATTCTCACGGAGACTGGCCAGCTAGCCGCCAGTACCCACCAGGATCAGGTTTTGTTTCAGCGGAAATCCCTCCCGGCTGACTCGGTGTGGGCTCACAGCTGTTCGCCGTCCGGGCACCCCCTCTCCGTGGGGACGGCCAGTCGTGCCGGACAGTGGAGGCGCGGCCCGCCGCTCCCCCGGGCCGGATGGAGCGGCTGGCACCGTCTGGCCGGCCCATGACGGCGCTCGTGACCCGATTTCCGGTCCCCGACGGGCCGTCCGCGGCGGCGGAATAACAAGGCGCGGC